GTTGTGTTGTGAGGAGTTTTATGACCAACTGATTGTTAACAAAAAAAAACAAAAACAAAACAATGTCAACAAATACAATTTTTTTCAATATGCTCTATTCAGATTTATTCTGCACCTTTTCACTTACCCCCTGAATGGATTCTGAGAATTGAAACACATCTCCACTGTTCTACATTAACAAGTTTACTACTGGAACCAAACACGGTGCTAGGTCCAATGTACCTAATTAAAACAGAACCAGAAGAGTTAACAAAAACCACCTCAACAAGTTAATGAGTAACTGTTTGTTTTAGAAGACAGTATAGCTGTACAGTACAAGTCTACTTGATGCTCAGATATTACCATTATGGGGAGTAAGACAAAAATAGCAATCTGATTTTATACAAAAGTGAAACAAAATACCTTTAAAACCTACATGCGTAGAGAAACAAGAGAAGTGGTCAGTTATCCCTGGGGACACGGTGGGTGAAGCCCAGCCCCCTTCTGCAAGGTGAGGATGACCGTTCCCTGCAGCATCAGAGCCGATGTGCTTGCACAGAGGCCATGTTCGGAATGTCCTGCTATCCCCAGGAATGGGAGCTGCCCCAAGACCACACCCATTCCCTTGTGCTGTATATAGTGTATGTGGGGTGGGGAGAGATGTCCCTTGCCTCTGTGTAGAGTTGCCTTGTGGAGGGAGAGCATCCTGCTATGTCCCACCCTGGAGTAAGGAGAATGTCATGCCTCTTCGCATACGCATGTGACTAACAGGGTAAGGCCCCTGTGTGGCAGCCAGCAGGGGCCACATGTCCAGGAGTGGCATGGCACATGCTCACACATGCACAGGTTGCTGCATGATCTGTGGACAGCAAGGCCTACACGCGCAGTCCCTGGTTTCCGCCCCTCCTCCCCACATAAGGGGACAGTGCTGGCACTTACCTGTTGTTGCCTCCCTGGCCTCAGATGACACTGGCGACAGGTCTGCTGGGGCAGCTTGGGGTCCTGTGTGCTTAGCATGCTCCATCTGGTCTGCTGCAGCTCCTGGTTCTCTTCCTTCTCTGTGATGCGTTGGTCAGGGCCCTCTGCCCCAGGGTTGATAACCACCAGGGGGGACACGGACTGTCCCGGGCCCCAAGATGTGGTCCAGGGCATTAAAATAGGGGCAGCTTGCTGTGTGTGCCCCTGGTTGGGAGCTGCCCCCTGTGGTCCTGAATTATGCCTGCCTAAGTTCTTTTATTTTCATCTGCACCTGCTCCTGGGTGCGTATGTGGCCTTTGCTGGCCTTGTTGGCAGCTATCCTGCCATAGACAGCCGCATTCCTTTATCTAGTGCGGAGATCATGGACATTGGAGGATTCTCCCCAAACTTCAAAGAGGTCCATGATCGCTGCACTGGACCAGGAAGGCACCCGCCTTTTCCGGCCCCTGGGAGCAGGCAGACTGCTCCTGGGGACTGGTGGAGGGCTGGCTGCTGGTGGCTTGCTGGCTCATATTGGGGCCACTGGATCAGGGGCAGGACAGACTGTTTGTTGGGCTGGCAGGCTTGGAGCTGGCGCAGGCACTGTGGCCAGAGTCTGCCCCTTTAAGGGCTCCGGGGCTGGGGGGAGAGAGAAGAGTTTTCCTGCTTTGGCCCAGAGTGGCCACCAGGGGAAACTGGGAAGGCTGGAGGCCAGCTAATTTGGACTAAGCGTCTACACAGCGCTTATTCTGAATTAGCTAATTCGAGTTTGGTGTTACTCCTTGTAGAATGAGGTTCACCAAACTCGAATTAAGCGCCCCGCTATTTCGAATTTAAATTGAAGTAGCGGTTTGCTTGTGTAGACGCTATGGAAGTTAATGCAGAATAACGGCTGTTATTCCGAATTAACTTTGCAGTGTAGACATACCCTATGCTATTATACCCCCCTGAAGCAGGTTGATAATGGTAACATCTCTTTGAAGAGTCTAATAGTGAAGCTGTCCACAAACCCAGGGAGAAAATGGCTTGCCTCCCGCACAGAAGAGAGAACATGCTTACGGGAAACAGACTATTGTTCAAGACAAAGGTTATCAGAACAAACTTCTAATGTAATTGGTCTGCAATTATGACTTCCTCCCTGCATGCTCTTAAGGCAAGGAGCTGGGAACTTTCGTAAAAAAAATATACGAAAGAACCTGCTAAAACACAAGTTAAAAAGGAAAACATGCTTACGCAGCTCGTTTCCACACCATGATCAGTTTGTCATCACCCCCCGACGCCAAATAAACCCCATTATTTGACCACCGCACGCAGTTCACACAGGCTGGAAAAAGAAAAAAGTTTATAAGATGCAATGTCAAAAAATGGTTCCATAATGCGGGTAGATTTCATGGTAAGCAGAGTTTGGCAGGAGGTGCTTGGGATTTGTTAAATATGCTCACACTACTCAAAGCAGTTACTCTGTCTGCTTCAGATAAATAGATTGCCAATTCTCTTTCAATACCAGATGAATAAAATATTTAAGTTTCAACAAGCTATTCTGCCTTAAAAAAAGAATCATAAAAATATGGTTTAAAGGGGAAAAAGTAACAGTTGTGAGACTAAGGAATGAAATTGGATTAATCACAAGTGCAACCTGTAAACAGCACACTTCCAAGAAAAGCAGGGAGCATCTAATTCAGATGAGCTCATTTCAAACATTTCGCATGCATAATACACTGCCTCTTAAGACTACAATAAACATTTCATATGGAATCTCCTCTGTTCATTCCTTTTCTTGCCCTTCTCTGTAATCCTACTAGTTGTCAAAAATTTGTTCTACAAGTTATTTTTGGTCCCATCAAATAGGCGGAAAAGACTCATATGCAAGCAATCTCCAGATGTATCTGAAGAACTGTCCAAAACTATAGCTTGACAGGGTTTTCTGCTGCACATCTTAAAAAAAAGCACGTAGTTGAGATTGGAGACTGCAGTGCATCACGGAGTTGTGGGGGTGGGTTTTTTTTTTTTTTTTGGTACACTGCTGACCAGAGATTTATATTTTTAAATTACAAACAGATCTACTAACAGGAAATTCTCCAAGGCTCAAAGCCTACAGAGAACCTGTGTACCTTACCTAGGTGATTGTCCATCTGACAAAGCATTTTGGGAATATTTTTATTCTTTTCATCATCCTCTTTGAGGACAGGAGCCATACTCCAGATCACCACCTTCCCAGAATCCTGTCCTAAAGATAAATAAATCAATATTTTAAGAGAGAACAAAACAATGTCTGAATTCACTTTCATTTCATAGAGAATTATTGGCTGATACTGCAGCAATGGATGCCCTAGAAATCTTTAGCAGACAAAAATAGACTTTTAGAGTTCATATTCATTTGCTGGTACTCAAATAGTGCTTTTGCTTTCATTTATCAAAAAACTATTATGACCACCTGTAATTTCAGAAATAGTAAAAGTCATACTGTACATAACAGTAATATTTTGACTATTTATCATGTACATGAAAAATAAATTGAAGCTCAAGAAAGGGGGGCACCATAAACTATTGCTAGCCAGTATTGTATACAGTATCAGTATTATACATCTCATATATTGTATTCAAGTTTTGCATAACTATGTACAACTATGAAGTGTACTAATGTGTAGCTTCTCGCAAAATCCTGCATAATTATGCTAAGAGAAAATGTATGATCCATACTCCCATCATCCTTTCTACTTAAGCCAAATGAGTAGGTAAACCGGATGAAACCTCTTCTGGGTGCATGTAGGTACTGTCAGGAACAAGATGTATGGTATGTTAAGGCTTGCCAAATTGCACAATATGCTAAGTTACAGAATGCCAAGGATGGGAATATATCCAAGTGATAGTATCAAAGGGATATTCTTGTTGATACCTACCCAGCACTCACCCTGTACCCAGGTATAGCTAGCATAAGATGCCTGTAAGTTTTGGTAACTTCTGGAAAACTATGCTCAAAACTGGTAAGAACTGGTATGTAAATCTTAGGAAAGTCAGCCACGTAGGGATGTAAAATCCTGTTTAATTAGTTAACTGGTTAAACATCAAGCGGCGGGCAGGCGAGCCCCAGCACCTCCGGCAGGGGCTGCTCCAACCCAGCTGC